GAAGTGGGGAGCCCAGAACTGGACACAGCACTCCAGATGGGGCCTTACCAGGGCAGAGTAGAGGGGAAGAGGAACCTCCCTCGACCTGCTGGCCACACTCCTCTTGATGCACCCCAGGATCCCATTAGCTTTCTTGGCAGCCAGGTCACACTGCTGGCTCGTGGTCAACCTGTATTAACATCTGTGTTCAACTATTGCTTGGTCAGGAAACTGGACACCAGTACATTCTTACACCTGTGAAATACAACCTATTCTAGTGAACTAGTATTTCCTTACGCAGGAGACTTTGAGAGAACTCATCTTCATTTTCTGTACTGGGCCACCCATTTTCTGTACTGGGGCACCCACGCACAGCACCTGTGGTTCGAAAGACCCAGCCCTTCCACCAGCAAGGAGAAACGATTGCACTTTTGTCAAAGTATCTCATCTTTGGGTTCTCCTGTTAGAGCGTCAGCTTTTAGCCCGGTCTGCTGCCCGGCTACTCGAATGATGGTAGCTACCACACAACCACAGATTTTCCTGCAGCTGACCTCTAATCTAAGGGTGTCTGAACGTGCCAAAGAACAGCAGCAATCTTCTTTTCTGCTCTCCTATCAACCAAATCTCACGGTAACTCCCGAGCAGCTCCTTTCAGTAAGGACTGCGCCTCCAGCCCCCTAAGAATCAGCCTCTCTCAGAATTACACCCCCGTAAGAGCTAAGGCCCTTCCAGTAAAAAAAGATCATAAAGCTCAAACCACACCTTTGGAGACCACACTTTGGTGTTTGCAAACCGGTGAGAAATGTGAGCGAGGCGGGCCCTGAATGCCAGGGCCAGTTCAAAGTAAATTAACCAGATAAAAGCGAGGAGAACCTTTTAGGATCTATTCACAACAGTGAGGAGAGGAAACAAGCAGGCCCCATCTGTGCAGCCTTAGGGCACCTCACACTGAGCTCCCTGGCTCTAATAAAGTAGTCAGGTTAAAATCGAAGTGGCTGTAACATGTGGACACTGCTAGGGTTACAACGGCCAGCCAGGGCGTTCCCCGATGCCGGTGATAATCAGTATGATAATCACTGTATTTACAGGCTTTCCATTTTCCATCTGACACTGGAAATCATGAAGGAGGAGGGATTAAGGAAATAAACAACCTACACAGCAGCTTTACCGCTCCCCGGAGAATGCAGCATTTTCATTCATGCGTGACATGCGACAAAAGCAAAGCAGAACAGCGGCAGAACAGAATTTTCATAGGAGGCTTCATTTCGCATCAGGACTTCTTTCTGTTTTGATAAACTTTCAACATTATCCATTCATTACTCCGACTCGGCATTTTCAGAGATATTTTTCATTATTGTCTACAACAGAAGATCTCATTTCATAAAACCCTCTCTCCCACCTTTTTACTCTTTCAGACTAAATACATTAAAAAAACCACTCCTTTTTCTATATAATCTTTTTACTAACTGCGACAGCAAATTTACTGCCGTAGCACCTAAACGAGAAACAGGATTTGTTACTGGTTATGAAACATTATTTGGCTCATGCAGGTCGGGGAAAAAAAAATATCCTAAGTACAGTCAGGCTGCAAAAAGCCCATGTAGAGGTTACTTAATGGGAGTAACACAATGTCACCAAAGTTAACACACACCCTCTCTTTGCACAATAGTGAGCAGTTTACACAGGAAAGCGAGATAAATTCAAGAGATAACAATAAAAAAAGACAACTTCCGTTAGTGCTGGCCTTGCTGGTATGTTAGAACTTGCTTGCTAGTTGAAAACTATTTCCATTCTTGCCTGTATTTTATTGCCATTGGAGCCCCAGCGTTTAGTAAATGGAGCTGTCTATAATCTACACTGGGGCTAATTGTACCAGGACTTGTTAAAAGCCTGAGCCCTTTTATCACCTGCAATACAAACTATTTGTTTAGAAGTAAGCAGAAACATGGCCTTCAAACACATAATTCATTAGCATCTACATTCCTAGAAGGAGATGTTAGCCCCCTGCGTTAAAAGAATTTTACGATTATAGAGTTAAGACGGCTCAGCTTCAATAATCGCACAGTCGGTTTGCCGTAACGCACAGAAGGCACGCTATATATTAAATATTCTTGACACAGCCAAATTTTTTTTTTTGTCAGTACCAAGGCTTTATGACGACTTTGGTCAAACTACAGCCAGAATGGTAGCAACATGCATGTTGGGTTAAAATGAATTCATGTAGGCCAACATCAAACTCACGCAGTTGCACTGAGCAGCATTTAAAACCACGTATTGCTGAAATTAGCTGACAAAGACGGTTTCGAAAGCACCACCAACAGTATTATCTACAATATG